AAAAAAAAAAAAAAAAGGCTCAGAAACTGATCGGCCCCATTTCCCTTTACCTGCCTAACACATCAGTGCAACCTGTGTGTTCATTTTGACAGAGACGATATTTGCCAAAATTTCCTGCTGTATTTGATGAGGATCTCTACACTTCTTACCTGGCTTCCTCTAGGCTGGCCCAGGGGCCCAGTCCAGCCCCTGGGATGTGAATTGACAGTCACTTGGGTCCAAAACTTAAAAATCATCAGATTTGTTTCCTCACCCTCATCTCCCTGCCAAGGGAGACCTTATAAGCCACACACCCGACACGGCTGTGCCACAATTTAAAGGGACCCAACATCCCTGAGTCACGACAGAGCACTCACTGAGCCTCGCCTGCGTGTGAAAAGGCCTGAGGTGTGCTAGGTTTTTCAACATGGTCCACCTGAGAAGTACCAGCATTACCAAGACCAGAGAACACATTTCCAGTCTAACAGAAAAGAGCAGAGAAAGCAAAGTCTGTCTTTGGAGTCCCGCAGCTGCCCCTTCTCTGTCAACTTTCTCTGTTCCCCTTCCCTCCCTCTCTATAACTTGCTGCTTGCCTGCACTAATACTTCCAAGGGAATCCCTGGGTGGTCTGAGCTGTGCTTCTGGAGGGATCGCAGGTACTCCAGAACAGTCAGCCCAGTGCACGGCAAGCTCGGGGGACCAGGGAGCCCGGCTGGCCCCCCTCTGCTCAGGGCCCCTGCACTGCCCTGGAAAAGTATATATCTCTCCACCTTTCTGCATGAAAAGTGTGGGTGGTGACACCACTTATTTCCTAAAGCTGTGACAGATTCAAGTGACTTAGACATACAAAGGATTTGGAAAGTGATGGCCCATAGAAAGCGCTATTTAGGATTGTGGTAGGGGAAGTGAGTCGGTAACAGTAAGTGGACATTGTCAAGGAGAATACTACTGTTGGTTACAGAGTCACACAAATCCAGCCCTAGGAAAGCACTCTGCTCCAAGACTAATGGACTGAAACCTGCATCACGTGGGCCTAACCAGAGGGCTAAGCTGAGTATCCAGGTCAACTGCCCAATGCGTTACCCAGGGGCCTTTGTGAAACAGGAGTCTGTGGAGACAGGGGAAGTGGTGATGGGAAGGTCTCACTGCCTGTGATTTTGGAACTAACTCCACAAGGCAAGCTGTTGGATAGGAGCTGGGAAATTAGGTAAACCCGCTAGAGAAGAGCTCTTGTGTCTGAAGCTAGCCTGACTTACCATCTTGGCAATCATAGTGACGTAGGGACCTGCATGTTGATTCACAGCGAAGAAGTCCATGAGCCGGGAGAACCAGAAAATGGTGTCTATGCAGTAGATCAGTCTCCCCACTGTGTAAAAAGGAGGGTCGCCCCAGCGGAGGCAAAAACCAACTGAAAACAGACCAATGGCTATAGTCTCCATTAGGTTCCAGTACTCACTCATCCACACCTTCACCTTCTGAGTAAAGTTCTCAGGTTCTGAAATACAGATCTAAAAGAAGAAAGAGAGAAACTTCACAGAATGGGGTTCTGATCCAGAGATGATGTACTCTGCTTGTATCAGGCAAGAAAAGAGGAAAAAGAAAAAAAAAAAAAGATGGAGCTCTGTGCACAGCACCTGCCTGGCAGGGGCAAGTCCAGGGTTCGCTCCTCAGGGGGTGGAGAAGGGGTCCAAGAACTCCAGAAGCCTCACCTTCCTGAATACCTCACCTGCTCCTTTAAAGACTAATCTAAAACACCACATGGAACTGAGACTTCAGTTACCCTCAGAACTGAATTCTTTAAATAATATTTAATGTCTGTTGGTTATGATAATAAAAATTAAACTATTAATGCTAGGGAGTCACTTGAAGACTCAACTAGAACTTAAAAAAAAAAAAAAAAAACCTGTTTTTTTCGTCCTCACTGATCCTAAGCTCCCATGGAGAAGTTCCGCGACATTTAAGACCTGGTACTGTAACGGATCTGTCTGCACAGTGATGCACAGTCCCATTTCAAGAGGCCCAGCAGACTGCAGAGCACAGTGGGCTGAAGCCATGGGTCCTGTCGTGGCCTCCTGCACCTGCTACTCCTAAGCTGCTAATAGGCTGGCACTCTCTACTGTGAGAAATTACCAGTGAAATACTCCATCAGGCAAAACCTAAATGCAAAACTCAACCTATCTTTCATGAAGTATACATAAGGGAGAACTCTCTTGAATTGCTTTCTGCAGTCTATAAATTCCATATAGGCAACTTGCAGGCAAAGCACATATAATTACTAAGAATACATTTACTTGTATATAATGCGGTCCAATTTTACACCTCTAGGACAAAATATATGTCAATGCATATACATAAAATACAAGTGGCGGAACTACCCACTCGAGCGCCCCTCCTGTCCCTCTCTTAGACAGGAGCTTTCTTTCCCTCAGTAACTATATTCTGCTCATAAAAAGAAAAGAAAAAAAATACAAGTACACTGATGCCTAAGAGTCTTAGGTCAAAACTATTTGTGAATGTAGTCATGACAGCATTAAAATATTAATTCTTAAGAGACTATAACCTAGTGGGGCTGGGATACAGCTCAGCAGCATAAGCACCCGCCTGGCAAGCACAAGGTCTTAAATTCAATCCCCAGTACCGCAAAACAAAAAGGGAGATTATAACCTAGAAATTAAATTTTTGTCTTGTTCCTTGGATAACAGCTTTAGCTTCAATTTTCAGGAACAGGAACCTATAAGCACCACACGCGTTCTCCTTATTTATTATATAACATTGGCTAATTATATGCCACTCTTTGGGGTGAAATTTATACTATCCAGATAATAGTAGGCCATAAAAATCAATCCTACAAAAAAAAAAAAAAAAAAAAAAAAAAAAAAAAAAAAAAAAAAAGCCTCTTGATGGAAATCAAACAGCTGGAAAGTTCAATAACTATTAGATAGCATCACTATGACTGCAGGGCTGATAAACATACTAAAATCTCTGCTTCAAAGATAACGCCTTTCAAAGTCCAGCACCCAGCATAAGGTATGTGGTGAAGATAAAGGGCTGAAAGCCGGAATTTTCCCCAAATGTCTGTCTTGCCACATGCCAGTCAGGACTGGCATTTTCTCCCCCATGCCCCAGCCTTGCTATCTGCCTTCATCAGCAGGGACACGAACACTTCTCTCAGAGGGCTGCAGAAAGCAAAGGCGGAAGAGAAACTCACCTCCCTGCCTTTCTCAATGGCGCTGGAGAAGATGTACGTGATCACGAGCCACTCTTGCACGCTGGGCTGCGGCTGCATCTCCACCAACACTGTGTAAGTGAACAGCATGAGGAATGCCAGGTACGCCATCTGCGAGGGGACACACCACCCCGGATGTGAACGCAGGGGGACATGGGGCCAAGCAGACATGGACAGAACCGCGAGGACACGCAGGCATGAATTTCAACACGATCACTTGAGACTATCACTAAGACCCGCGTGTGACCAGTGGTGACCTGGCTTCCAAGCAAGCTCAAGCATCTACAGGTTTCTGGTCTAGGGACTTGGTGGCAAGAAGGAAAATAAGCATTCTCAGATGCGCAGAAAGTAGGAGAATGCTGTCTCCAACTGGTACCTGCTGACCGGCATTCCCAGGGCCCTCACATCCCAGCGTGGATGATGGCAGCTGACAGCAAGCCCGGGAAGAGGCACACACCCGTGCCCAGCTTGAACACCCACATCCTGGCTACCAACAAGACAGATGCCATGCGGTGGGCGCATCTTCCCAAACATGATGAACTGTGACATGTTCTGCTGTCTGGAGCTTTATTTTATATTGATTAAAATATTACAGTTAATAGAAATTTTACCCCACTTTAGCTCTTATACTTGAGGAATGATCGTAAATATTTTTATTATCAGCACTCAACCAGATACATGATAGCAATTCCCCAAATGTTTGTTTAATTGCTCACTGTATATATTATTACTAGATTCTAATCTATCTGAAGAATTAAAACATAGCTACAGTGTGACAGATAGCCTATAGGCTTATCTAATGTTCTTATCTTCTTAAGATATATGCCCTTATAGCTGAGCACACATAAATTTACAACTAAGACAAACATTACCAAGTAGTTAGCAGTTTCCACTGTCACCAGCCATGCATGAACCATGCAGCCCTGTAAACGGCTGCAGAGAACACATCCAGCTCACACCTGGGAACCGTGGAGGTGGCAGGAGAGGACTGAGTGTGCTCATCCTTACAGGAAATATTTTAACCTCCATCCCCACTTTTAACACCCTTTTAAATTCTAAGTTAGTAAGTCTAACTTAGAGTTTAATTCTTTCTAAGTCGAGTTCTGCACACACACAAAAAAATCTAAGGAGTGGCTAGCCAGAGTCCCTGGGTACACTGGAATAATATTCACAAGTGGCACTTGGGGTAGTCCTGGCAGGTGCTGCTGTCTCTGAGTAACAAAGCACAAGAGAAGCAGGGAAGAAAGTTAAGGTGGTGCCCATTAATCCTGTCCTTCTATTGGTCTGTGTCCCAGAGTCTGA